TAGCTACATGGCAGCTGAAAACCGTATACCCTAGCTTATCGTGCATTCTTTCCAAAAATCGGGACTTTAAAAAAAATATGTGAATATAAATAAATTTATATCAAGAAAGTGGTTTACACAATTATAATCAGGACTTTTTATTTTTTTAAACATTTTATTAGGGGCTCATACAACTGTTATCGCAATCCATACACACATCAATTGTGTAAAGCACATTTGTACATCATTCTCAAAACATTTTCTCTCCACTTAAACCCCCGACATTAGGTCCTCATTTTTCCCCTCCCTCCCTGTTCCTCCCTCCCTCATGAGCCCTTGATAATTTATAAATTGTTATTTTGTCATATCTTGCCCTGTCCGACGTCTCCCTTCACCCACTTTTCGGTTGTCTGTCCCCCAGGGAGGAGGTCACATATAGTTCCTTGTAATCGGTTCCCTCTTTCCTACCCATTCTCCCTTTACCCTCCCTGTTTCGCCACTCACACCACTGGTCCTGTAGGGCTCATCCGCCCTGGATTCCCTGGATTTTCAGTTCCTATCTGTACCAGTGTATATCCTCTGGTCTAGCCAGACTTGCAAGGTCGAATTCGAGTCATGGTAGTGGGAGCGGGGAGGAAACATTTAGGAACTAGAGGAAAGTTGTATTTCTCATTGTTGTTACATAATCAGGACTTCTTAAAAACACTGCGGGATGCAGGACAAATTGTTAAAAATCGGGACTGTCCTGCCAAAAACGGGACGTCTGGTCACCTTACCTTTATAGCTCTAATTCTGAGCCTATCAGACCTTTGGATACTTCATTTTCTACAGTAAGGGTATTAGCTGCCGCCTTCCCTCTTGAAGTCCAAGGTTAAGAGCATTTACATTATGCTGTGCCACTGGAATCAAGTGTATTTTATTCTTAGGTTGATGCCAATAATTTTTTTAAAATCAATGAATGGTGTTTAGGTTTGTTTTAGGATACAAAAGAGACCCCGTCTCCAATATCATTTATGAAGAACACTTATTAAGTCTTAAAAGAGACACAGACAACACACCATCCATAGCAGGAGGTCAAAACGGCACCCAAGGAGTCTCAATTGGGAAGCTAAATCAATAAGGCACAGAACAAAGGAAACTGTCACAAATCCATGATTGGTAACAGATGGATTTGTTATAGGTGGGACAGTTATAGGTGGGACTACAGAAGCAGAAGTGGGACCATGATGGGGACCCGTACATTGTGACATGACACAGAAGGCTTGTCAGATTGGCCCAGGGCCTTTCCACCAAAGTAGTCAGGGGCATGACTTATGACTATTTGAGCTCCTGTGCTGTCCCCAGGATGGTGACCCCCATCGGGAACACATCCAGGCAAGCCCCTCTCTGCTGGCTGGATAGGGGTGGAGGTAATCCACTTTCAAAGGCACTCTGCCCGAGGGAAAGCTTATTTACAGTCTCAGTGAAAGATCAGAAAGCATTCAGTCTAGCCTTAATCTATGTGGGGGCTCTGCCAGTGGGTTCTGGGACTCTGCCACTGTCATCCATAGCAAACAACTGTATAGGGCAGGGTAGAATTGCCTCTGCCGGTTTTAGCGTCTGTAACTCTCTAGGGGCGTGGAAAGCTCCGCCTTCCTCTAGTAGAATAGGTTGGGGGTTTCCAACTGCTGACCTTGTGGTTAGCAGCCCAGTACCTAACCACTATGCCACCAGGGTTTCTATTGAAGAAAAGGATCTTGGCAACGGGGGAGGCACTGGTGTTGGGCTTTCTGTGGGTGGTACTGGTTCAGTGACAAGCACAAAGCACATGCAGTGCACAGCAGTTACCCTTGGCCCGAGTTGAGGTTGGGAGAGAGAGGGGGATGGCTGGTGAGTCCTGCTCCCCACTCCCTCATGCTGAGCCCGGAATGTTGGCTCACTGGGAACTTCTACCGTGACCCAAATCCACCCTCTTCCCTTCTCTTCCTCCCCGGCCTTCCTTTCCCTCCAAAGACCCAGTCCCTCCCAGATCTCTTAAGGCAGTGGTTCTCAACCTTCCTAATGCTGTGACCCTTTAATACAGTTCCTCATGTGGTGGTGACCCCCAACTATAAAATTATTTTCGTTACCACTTCATCACTGTCTGTGAAAGGGTCGTTCGACCCCCCAAAGGGGTCGCGGCCCACAGGTTGAGAACCGCTGCCTTAAGGCTTTGCAGATAGGAACAAGAGTCCCACCTTCTAAGAAAAGTTTGCAATACCCAACACAAAAGACAGGGGCCCAGGTGGAGTAGTGCTTATATATTGGGCTGAGAGCCACATGTTTGGAAGTTCAGAACCACCAGGCGCTCTGAGGAAGAAAGACGGGACTTGTCTCTGAAACAAACAGGGCAGCTCTTCCCGGTCCGTATAAGTCATCATGGGCTCTGTGGCAGTGAGAGGGCACACAGGAGGAGGAGCTCTGATGATGGGATGGTTGGCCACCTGACTGCCCACCTACCAATGCCCCAGGGAGGAGGAACCTGCTGATCTGCTCCTATAAAGAGTCTGCCCAACTCACTGCCATCCAATCACAGTGACCCTATAGGACAGGGCAGAACTGCTTGTGTGGGTCACTCTTTACGGCAGTAGAAAGCTCCATCTTTCTCCCAGGGAGCTGCTGGTTTCAAACTGCTGACCTTTGGGATCACAGCCCAACTCGCAACCACTGTGCCACCAGGGCTCCCCCTATGAAGATTACAGTCTAGGAAGTCTATGGGAGCAGAGTCTTTCCACACAACAATGGTGACCACGGGAGAGGAGGTAACACAGTTAGCCTGCTGTTAATCAAAATCCTAGAAACATAATTTAAGATTGAGTTTGTCAAAAAGCCAAAATGTCAGAGCCGCCTCCCTTGCAGTACAAATCCCTTTTAAAGATAGTCAGTGGAACTGTTCTAATCAAGAAGGCTACCAGCAAGGCTGTCAGGAGAAACAATGGAGTCTGGGGCTTCAGGGTAGGAGGGTTTGGTGACCCTTGGAGAATGTAGACTTCAATGGTTTCCTGTGGTCAAGGCAAAACCTGCTTCCATCGTCACCCATTGTTTGGGTCCTGGGATCATGGCAAAACACGGTTTTTTATCACAGTTTAAAGAATATCACTTGCTTCATTTGCACGGGATTTTCAAAGCCTTTTGGAAGTGGTAAACCCCACTATTTTCTTCTGGTTCGCGGGTGCAGAAGTTTCCCAAATCAGCCTGGTCTTTGTCTTTGGCCAAAACCGTGACAGGTAGTCCCCAATCCCGGACCTTGGCGGAAGGAAGGAAGGAAGGAAGGAAGGAAGGAAGGAAGGAAGGAAGGAAGGAAGGAAGGAAGGAAGGAAGGAAGGAAGGAAGGAGAGCATGGGAAAGAAGCCTGACAACCAGCTGAGTACAGGTCTGTATCACCTTCCTCAAATCTCACCCCAGCTGTCTCCGTAAGGTTGCTCTTGCGCCCATTTTACAGATGAGGACTAAGAGAAGAGAGACTGGACACTTCGTCAAAGCCATAAAGTCATTATCAACAGAATATTTTCAACAGCCACAGCATTTCGGGCAGCGTCTCACCAGGCCAGTAGCCAGACCTCTCTGGGACTCGGTTTCTTCAACCTTGAAATTGGAGACAATATTCCAAGGCGTGCCTGAACTTGTAGGTTAGCCGGGAGTACCAGAGACAATGTCCTCGAAGATCCCGGCACGTGCAGTGTGTATCGGTCCTGAAACTGGGAGCTGTGGCTCTGTGTGCAGATGGCAACTCACTTACGCCTCCCTAGGATCTTTCTGAAGGCGGAGTGGGTAAGGCCTGCTGAATGTTTGGGAAAGTCCAGGGCTGACCTCAAGTGATCAAGGAGGAGGGCCTGTGGCTCGGTGTCCATTCGGCACTTGACAGGCTCAGAGCGGGCCAAGGCTTAACCCAAGATCACACAGCAATCTAGTTGGCCGAGCCTGCCGGGAAGAGGGGTGCCTCTCAGCCTCCTGGCTAGCCCCAGTCCAGCAGAAAGGCCAGACTCATAATCTCTCTGCGTCTTTGTCTTCTCCCTGACACGCCCAATTTAGAGGGCCAGGGACCCAGGAGGAGCCAAGGCTCCAGGGCTTCTTGAGGCCAAGCTCAGATTCTGGAGGAGGAACAGGTGACCTCAGGGGAGGCACCATTGTCAGGTAGGGCAGAGGCTCTTCGGCCAGGCCCTATCCTGAGTGGCTAGCTTACACCCAGCCAGGGCCAGGTGAAGGCCTGGGGTGGGGTGGGGTGGGGTGTGGGTGTTGTCATTCTGCCGGGATCTTTCTCCCACTCCTCTCTTGCTCCTCCTCTGGAGGAAGGGTCAAGGCCAGGCTAAGATGGTGTGGTTGGCACCTGTACAGATGGCACCACTCTTGCTGGCAGCCTAGCCCACATTTACCCTGGGGGCCTCCGGAGCCCCTGAGCGGGAAGGAGGAATCGGAATGGCTCTGGGTCTAGGCTAGGCAGGCAGAGGAAGATCCGAAAAGGTTCCAGTGCCGGATCCCAGAGCTCGGAGAGGGACGGGAGGACCGAGCTGGGCCCCTCCGTAACCTGACCGCCGGCCCGAGGAGCCTGTTGTGTTGGCGGCCCTCCCTCCCTCGGCCCAGGGCCCTCTCCTCGGGACCCCTCCCTGGGTCAGGACTCCGGCTCGCACGTGACCGGCGCGCTAAAGGGACGCGGGGAGGGTCTCGGCCTGGCCGCCGGCCCCTGCAGTCGCGCGCTCCGACTCCACCACCCCGAGCGCCCGGGTGAAATCCACAAACTCTTGGGCCCTGACTCCCCATCCCCGAGGGTCGGGGTGCGACCCCCGCCAGGGGCTGCCCCCCGGGCCTGGGGACCTGGACAGCCTCTTGGGCCGTTCTCCGAGTGGGTGTCAGCCCGCCGCCGCCCCGCTCTCCCCGCCCCGCCTCCTCGCTCTCCTCCACCCCATAGGCAGAGGCGACCCTCCCGCCCCTGCGCCCGCTCCCGCTCGCCACGCCTCGGCCCACTTGAAAATGTACTTGGGCCCCGGGCGCGGGCCAGTCGAGCCATGGCCGTGTGCGTCGGGATGCTGCGCCTGCAGAGGCTGTGCGTGGGAGGCCCCGGGGTGCTGGGGGCCCCGGCCGTCCGCGCCCGAGGCTGGCGGGAAGCGAGCTGGCTGGGCGCCCGCCCTCTCAGGTACCGGCCCGGGAGGCGCGGGGGCGGGGCAGCCTCCCCGGGAGGAGGCGCGAAGGGCGCTCGGCGGGGCGCGCAGCAGCCGCCCCTCTGCGGGGTGTGCCCTGGGAAGTAGCACCCCGGGCACTTAGGCGACAGGGAAAGCCGGCCTGGCCCGCGCAGGCAGGGACGGCGTCCCGCGCAGACCCTGGTTCTGGTCCAAGAGGTGATAAGTCTTCCTCTGGCCCCGCGCACCTAGGACCCGGGGTTCGGGCCTTTTGCAGTCTGGTCTGGGAGGAGCGGGGGGGATTTCTGTGTCCCCCAACGAGCCACTAAAGTCGGTGACTGCCCTCGGCGTGGCCAGCATGGCTGCGCGGCGTCTTCTAAGGAGCCCTCGGGGCGCAGTGGGTAGGCTCCTGGCTGCCAACGCAAACAGGGGGCGGTTCCAACCCACCCGCGGCTCTGCGGGAGGAAGCTCTTCTTTTCAGAACGATCACCGCCTGCGAACCCCTCCGGCCCAGTTCTACCGCCCTCCCGGGCGGGCCCCTGCGGGTCGGAATCCACTCGGGCTCGCACAACGGCTCCTCCGGGACTGTCTTTCTGTGTTCTGGATGTGAGGGTGGGGTGGGGGCTGGGGGGCTTTGCTCGAGCTGCCTTCCTGGTGTTGCCAGTCTGAAGAGGGCAGGTGCATCGCGGCACGTGCCTCCCCAGGTGGCCTGAGTCATGGCTAGCTGGAGCAAGTACTTCTCTTCTGGTCCCGGCCACCCAGCCGGGATCAGGTACTCACGGGCGGTCAGGGCCCGACTTTGGACACTAGGGGGGGTGTGGGCCTGGCTGGGGCCAGCAGAGGAGCAGGCCTGTCTGAGAGAACCCTGGTCTGGTTACCAAAAGAAGGAAGCGGAAGAAAAGTGGAAGTGGGGCACATTGGAGAGGAGCTGGCTGCACAGCCTTCTCCTGGTTGGAATTCTAGGATGGCAACGTTTGGAACTCGACGGTTCTTGAAAGCTAGAATGTTCACTCGACGGTTCTTGAAAGCTAGAATGTTCATCGGGCTTCGTGCATCGTGTCCTAGTTTCCTGGGAAAGCCGGAGCTGGGGGTTAAAGCAGTAGCTGTTCAGTGGGTACTTCTTCTTATTCTTTTTTTTTTTTTCAATGTGCATATACTTTTATTACCAATTCTTTTTTTAAAACATCATTTTATGGGGGGCTCATACAACTCTTATCACCATCCATTGTGTCAAGAACATCTGTACATTTGTTGCCATCATCATTCTCAAAACATATGCTTTCTACTTGAGCCCTTGGTAGCAGCTCCTCATTTTTCCCCTCCCTCCCTGCCCCCCTAGTGGGCACATTCTTGCCTTCCTCATGGGAGGCCTGGGTGTGATTCCCCGCAAATTCACCTCCTGGGCAGCCACCCCCGTCACCGGTCATTGGAAGTTTTTGCGTGTCTGTGGTCAGGACTTCAACGCGGTGCTGTGGCGTGGCCCCCAGATTCAAGGGCAGAGGTCTCCTTGCTATCTGTCTTGTGGGGGGTTTGACCCTGCTCAAAGATGGAGGCTGACACACAGGCAGAGCAAGGAGGCTGGCCATCTGATGCTCTCTGTTTTTTAACTTAGGCCAAGAGACTTGGTTGAAGTGCATCCTGAACTCTGCTCTGACTTCCTTGGGCCATGTCTATTTAGGACGGGTTCAAATTCCTGCCTGTGACCTATGACCCTGATCCAGTTTCAGTGATGCCATAGTAGGTTTATGTGTCGTTGGGCTTACTAACCACAGGCCTGGCATCCAAACTCACCAGCCACTCCCTGGGAGGAAGAGGAGGCATTCTGCTCCTGTACAGCAGGGGCAGTTCCACTCTGTCCTGGAGGGTCTGAGTCAACTCGATGGCAGGGAGAGGAAGAAAACCCTGGAGATTTGCTCCCCAAAAGCAGCCTTTGAAAACCCCCTGGGGGCCTGGACCAGCAGACGACCCACAAGAGATGGCAGGTAGAGCTTGGGGCCAGGCAGTGCAGGACGTGGGGTCTCCAGGAGTCAGGGTCACTCACAACAAAAACAGCCGGGCTGGTCAGTCACTGGGGTTTAGATGAAGACATTTGGGTCCTCCTGCGACTGTCGCTAGCCTCCACTGGCTTCCAGTGCCTCCCAAACAAACTGCATCACCCACTAGCCTCCAACCCTACCCTCGCTGACCAAAGGGCTGCCATTGAAGTTAGTCTTCAAACGTACACAAGGTTTGTGACATTAGTTAGTGCACCTCAATCTTCTGGGCCTTTGACTGTTTTCGAAAAGTGTAACCCAAGTTGGTTGGGATCTTTCTTGCTAGTTGGCTGCAACCTCTAAGTCTGAGAGGGAGAAGAGGCACAGAGAAATTCTGCATCTGTGTCAGAAGAAGGAGCCCTGGTGGCGGAATGGGTTTATGAGTTGGGCTGGTGATGGCAAGGTCAGCAGTTCAAAACCACCAGCTCCTCTGAGGGAGAAAGATGAGGCTTTCTACTCCCATCAAGAGTGGCAGCCTGGGAAACCCACAGGGGCAGGTCTCCCTGCCCCATGGGGTCATTAAGAGTCAGAATAGACTCAATGGCAGTGCGTTTGGTTGTGGTTTGGTATCAGGAGAGATCCGTGTAGCCAATGAGACTAGATTTCCTGAGCCTTTGGCCTCAGTCCCTCTCATCCCTTCATCCCTCCTGGGCTTGAGCCCTTTCCTACTGGCTGGCTTTGGCCTGGTTTCTCTCCTCCATCCCCTCAGAAGCTCTCAGGCATTTCTAATGTTCAGGAAATATTCCCGAGGACAAATGCCATGTGATCTGTGGTGTGCTGTAGCTGCAGAGGCCACAGAGCCCAGTCTCCAGTCCTCAAGGGACCTGTGGTCCAAAGGGAAGCTAGAGCAACCCAGATTCTCCCCGGGTATTCCAAGTGCTTCTGCCTTCTGCACACAGCCCCAGGCTTCAGGGCCTCCACTTTTGCTTGCTAGGCAGGAGCAAACACTGCGAAGCTGAACTAGCTTGGGTCCATGCCTGATTCCTCTTCCTACCACTAGCCGCAATACCTTGGTGTGTTGCTTAACCTCTGAGTCTTAGATTGTCACTGATAAGTGCCGAGTTGTGGGACAGGTGACAAAGGCTTGTTTTTTTTCTGGGACAGGGCTGGTTACTGAGAACCTTCCAATGCTGTCTGAGTTGAAAGAGTCCAGCTGATTTGAGAATACGAGAGGATCCCCTTCTCAAAGGCTCTGCTTTGGACCCAGTTCTCTCTCCTGGCCAGTTGCCGCGATGGTAGACTGCCTAGACACAAGTCCAGTCTTTGGGCCTGCTGCATACTACCTCCACCCTTCGTCTTGTGAGGAAAGAGGAGCTGTCCATTGTTCTTTGGATCCCCGAGTCACCAGCTCCTCCCATATCCACACCCCCCATCCTCCACCCCAAGGAAGGTTGAATGGGCTAGCCTGGGGCTTCAAGGAGATTTGGAGGGAGGAGGCCAAGGAGAAACACGCACTTCCCCTAGACTGCTCCAGGACTGCGTGGGAGACCGCGACTTCCAGGGTGGTGGGAGCACTCAGAGCAGCCATGAGTCCGTGGACTGTGACCGAGACTGACTGTGTATGGGAGTAGAACGCCTCATGGACCAGCCTCATGTGGGTGAACCGCTGGTGTGGTTAGCATCTACATGCATGCCCATGATGCCACCCTAGCTAACTCTCAGAACTGGGGAAGAGGGAGAGAAGAGTGGCTTACACCTTCCAGTATGGGGTGCGGTGTTCAGAGCTGGGCCCCGTGACGGTGTGGAGGGCAGGGGCAGAGAGACTCGTGGGCTTTATGGATGGCTTTGCGGGATGGGTAGCCATCAGCCGCTTAGACACTGTCTCTAGATGAAGGCGGTGCATTGGGCCAGGAGGTGTTTGAGTGGAAATGCTAACTCATCTATAATCTTCAGAAGATTCTCATCTGCTGCTGAGAACCGGGATCCTCAGGCCAACAGTCACAACAGGAAAGAAGCCATCTGATAAACAATCCCGAGGAGAAAACAACGAAATCTGAAGTTCCAGGGGGAGACGGGGGAAGGGAGGGGGGTCCAACAAACCCAGGGACAAGGGAACAACAAGAGATCTAAGGTCGATGGCGAGGAGGGCATAGAATGCCTGGTGGGGTTTGAGCAAAAGGAATGTAGCTGAGAGGAATTACTGAGAGCTGAATGAAGGTGGAACATGATCGTGGGAGAGGAGGAACATAAAAGGAAGTAGATGAAAGAAGTAGGAGGCAAAGACATTTATAGAGGTATAAAGATAGGCTTGAAATATGTAAATATATTAGTGTATAACAATAGGGATCTAGGTTATGTACATATATTTATAGGTTAAGTATTAAGGTAGCAGGCAGACATTGGGCCTCTACGCAAGTCCTCCCTCAATGCAAGAACTTTGTTCAAATAACCTGGCTGTGATACTCACTTTCCCAACACAATCACTGAAGAAAAAATGGGCACATAAGCTATTATGAAGAAATATGGCGAATGTGGTGAAGAAAGCTGATGGTGTCCGGCTCTTAAAAGATATAGCATCTGAGGTCTTAAAGGCTTGACGGTAAACAAATGGCCATCTAGCAGGGAAGCAACAAAGCCCACACAGAAGAAGCACACCAGCCTGTGTGATCATGAGGTGTCAGATGGGATCAGATATCAGGCATCAGAAGACCCCAAACAATCATACCAATGCAAACAAGTGAGGTTGGACGGGAGACCCAAAGACCACCTGTAGACAATTGGAAAGCCCCTCACAGAAGGGTCACAAGGAAGGGATGAGTCAGCCAGGGTGCAGTATAACACCGACGAAACACACAATATTCCTTTAATTCTTTAATGCTTCTCCCCCTCCCCCTGTCATTATCATGACCCCAGTTCTACCTTACCCAGCTAGATCACAGCATGTACATTGGTACAGGTAAGAGCTCTTGACACATGGAATCCAGGACAGATAAACCCCCCAGGAACAGTAATGGGCGTAGTGATACCAGGAGGGCAGGGGAAGG